CTGGCACAATGGAAGCAAATACACGATATACAACGTGTACAGCCCACCTCAGACAACATGCAACATACCAGAACTATACAAGACACAGTACCATAAAACCCTTCTTGTTGGTGACTTCAACGGACACTCGCCACGTTGGGGTTACCCTGACTACAATAGCACAGGGAAGTACATCGAAGATACTTGTGAAACAACTAACCTATTAGTGCTGCAGGACACAGAGTCTACACCTACACTGTTACACAGGGCCCACCTATCTCTCAGCAGACCAGACCTGACCATCTGCTCATCCGACTTAGCAGACGCAAGCTATCCCCAAGTCCTGGACGACATAGGAAGTGACCACAAACCTATACTCACAACTGTAAGCACCACCCCTAAATTACGCTTCAAGCAGAGAACCCGTTGGAATTTCCGAAAAGCAAACTGGAAACTATTTCAGGAAACATCTGACTGCCTCCTGGGAAGAATTGACAACAGCTGTGTGGAAACTTTTTGTGAAGACATAACACAAGCAATCCTGAATGCAGCGTCGAAAGCCATCCCAAGGGGCAGCCGGAAGGCATATAAACCTTTTTGGAATCAAGAAATTCAAAATACTATATCTGAAAGGAATAAAGCAAGAATATTTCTCGAAACTGCACGTTCAACAGAAGCAAAGATCCAATACAATAAAGCATGTGCCAGAGTAAAGCTTGTAGTTAATAAGGCTAAAAGAGATAAATGGACAGAAACTTGCTCCAACTTAGACCTTAGACAGAATGGAAATAAAGCATGGACTTTAGTTAAAAAACCTCTCCGGAGAAAGTAGAAGGGTGAACCCAAAACCAGTGACAGATGGGAGTAAGACAATCACTGAAGACAAGAAGAAAGCAGAACATTTCAATCATTATTTTGCCTCGGTTAACAGAGCAGGTAAGCTGTCAGAACTCGATAGAACACAGCTCTCTCAGTTGAAGAAACAAGAGAGAGCTCCAACAGCCAGCGACTCCCTTTTTGAAAATGAATTTAGCATGGATGAATTAGAGCAAGCCCTGAAGAAATTAAAACCTAGAAAATCTCCAGGCCCAGATAAGATCCACAACGAAATGCTGCTACATCTTGGCCGGTCTGGGAGAGAAGTAGTTCTCAGGCTTATTAATAAAACTTGGAGGTCAAGCAAACTTCCAAGGGCATGGAGGAATGCATATATCGTCCCCATCCTTAAAACCAAAAAGCCTCCAGATGACCCCAAAAGCTACCGCCCGATATCCTTAACATCATGCTTGGGCAAAGTTGCAGAAAGAATGATAACAGGCGCTTATATTGGTTCCTTGAGAGTTCTGGTGTTCTATGCCATGAACAGGCAGGCTTCAGAACCAACAGCTGCACAGAAGACCAGCTGTTCAGACTGACACAAAGAATACATGATGGCTTCCAGAATAAGAAACACACAGTGGCAGTCTTTGTCGACCTCCAGCAGGCCTATGACAGAGTATGGAGAAAAGGTCTCCTGATGAAGATGATGAGCATAGGAATACATGGCAGATTGTATAACTGGGTGAAATACTTCCTGATAGATAGAACAATCCAGACTAAGATGCACAACGCAATCTCTTCTAAAGAAGTCTTGGAGGAGGGCTTGCCACAAGGCTCATCATTGAGCTGTACACTATTCCTAATCTTTATCAATGACCTGCCAGAACAAATCAAGGCCGAAAAAGCCTTGTACGCTGATGACCTAGCAATATGGCAGAGTCATGAAAATGTGGAAAGTGGAGCCCAAAGACTGAATGGAGACCTTAGAAGACTGCATGATTACTGCCAAAGATGGAAACTCAAGATTAACTGTGCAAAGACGGTCTACACAATCTTTACCAAAAGCCACCAAGTAGCAAGGAAGAATATTAACCTGAGGTTAGACAAACACCAAGTGATGAAAGAAGAGCATCCCACATACCTTGGAGTCACACTTGACCCGCAGCTCAGCCTCAAGAACCATATTGAAAACATCAGGAATAAGGCATTGAGGCGGTTACAGTTATTAAAGAGACTTGCAGGTACATCATGGGGATCAGACAAGGAAACTCTGAGGGGCTTATACCTAGGATATGTTCGCTCTGTGATAGAGTACAACAACTCACTGCTTACAACTTGTTCCAAAACTAACCTAGAGACTCTTGACAGAGTACAAAATAATGCCCTCCGATTAATCTGCGGAGCTATGCAGTCTACACCAACTGCTGCATGTGAAATCCATACAAATGTGGAACCCCTCGGGTTGCGGAGAGAAAAAGCCACTTTAGAAATTTATGAAAGATGCGTTAGGAAAAATCGTAACCATCCTAATAGACATCTTGTAGAAAACTGGGAATCCAAACAAAGAATAAAGCACAAATCGGTTTTACACTGTGTAAATGAAATTCAGGACAGATACCACCTCCCAGAAAGACGTCAAGGAATTCAGAATGTTGCAAAAAACCTACCACCACATGCTCGCTTTAAAGCTCCAGAAGTCCAAACTAAATTGGTAGGCGAGGAAACCAAACAGTCCGACCCAATCGCTCTTATGAACTCATCACTAAAGACCGTTGATTCTTACCCCCAAGAATGGATACATGTCTATACTGATGGATCAGCATTTAAAGCTACCATTAAAGCAGGTTACGGAATCTACATAGGTTATCCCGATGGATCTGTTGAAGAGATTTTTGATGCATGCGGGGAATTCTGTTCAAACTATGAAGCTGAAATAATTGCACTGGAAACAGCAGTATACCACCTAAAGACTGTAATGGATGTTTACCCCTCAAAGGTCCAAAATATTGTCATCTTCACAGATTCAATGTCTGCCCTTCAAGCTCTGGAGGGCAATGAACGCTGCAGAACTGACATAGCCAAGATAATCCTGGATGCCGATCATCTTATTACCTCATACAACATCAGAATAGTGATGCAGTGGATTCCAGGTCACTCCGGCACACCAGGTAATGACAGAGCTGACAGATTGGCAAAGAAAGGAGCAACACAAGAACAACCACCTACAGCGACAACCCTCCAGACAGCAAAAACACTGATAAGAGCTATAAACAAAGAGACTTGGTTGAACAGATGGGCCATGGGAGACACTGGAAGAGAGGTTTATAGACATATGTCTGGCCCTGATCCTAATGACAGCATTAACCATCTAACAAGAAGGGACCAGGCCACCATCTTCAGACTTAGAACGCAACATACTCCACTCAATGGACACCTAAACAGAATACAGCCACAACACTCCCCAGAGTGCCAGCTATGTAACTACCCCTACGAAACTGTTGAACACCATCTCTTTGAGTGCCCAAAAGCAGTCACATGATCTAGCACCATCAACACAATTAGCAATCACATGATCTAGCACCATCAACAGTCTAGCAGTCACATGATCTAGCACCATCAACACAGTCTAGCAGTCACATGATCTAGCACCATCAACACAATCTAACAGTCACATGATCTAGCACCATCAACACAATCTAGCAGTCACATGATCTAGCACCATCAACAGTCTAGCACAGTCACATGATCTAGCACCATCAACACAGTCTAGCAGTCACATGATCTAGCACCATCAACACAATCTAGCACCATCAACAGTCTAGTACAATCACATGATCTAGCACCATCAACACAATCTAGCAATCACATGATCTAGCACCATCAACAGTCTAGCAGTCACATGATCTAGCACCATCAACACAGTCTAGCAGTCACATGATCTAGCACCATCAACACAATCTAACAGTCACATGATCTAGCACCATCAACACAATCTAGCAGTCACATGATCTAGCACCATCAACAGTCTAGCACAGTCACATGATCTAGCACCATCAACACAGTCTAGCAGTCACATGATCTAGCACCATCAACACAATCTAGCAATCACATGATCTAGCACCATCAACAGTCTAGTACAATCACATGATCAAGCACCATCAACACAGTCTAGCAGTCACATGATCTAGCACCATCAACAGTCTAGCACAGTCACATGATCTAGCACCATCAACACAATCTAGCAGTCACATGATCTAGCACCATTAACACAATCTAGCAGTCACATGATCTAGCACCATCAACACAATCTAGCAGTCACATGATCTAGCACCATCAACACAATCTAGCAGTCACATGATCTAGCACCATCAACAGTCTAGCACCATCAACACAGTCTAGCAGTCACATGATCTAGCACCATCAACAGTCTAGCACAGTCACATGATCTAGCACCATCAACAGTCTAGCAGTCACATGATCTAGCACCATCAACACAATCTAGCACCATCAAAGTCTAGCAGTCACATGATCTAGCACCATCAACACAATCTAGCAATCACATGATCTAGCATCATCAACACAGTCTAGCAGTCACATGATCTAGCACCATCAACACAGTCTAACAGTCACATGATCTAGCACCATCAACACAGTCTAGCAGTCACATGATCTAGCACCATCAACAGTCTAGCAGTTACATGATCTAGCACTATCAACAGTCTAGCACAGTCACATGATCTAGCACCATCAACAGTCTAACAGTCACATGATCTAGCACCATCAATAGTCTAGCACAGTCACATGATCTAGCACCATCAACACAGTCTAGCAGTCACATGATCTAGCACCACCAACAGTCTAGCACAGTCACATGATCTATCTAGCATTTGCACGTTGCAGAACTTCTCTGTTGGCAGCACACACACATCTTAAGTTCACGCTAAATATCGCTGAACTTTTCTGCTGACCGCACCCACATATCTCTAGTGTGTGCTAAATCTTGTAGAATTTCTGTGCACCCATACATCTAAAGTCCTTGCTAAATATCGCTGAACTTTTCTGCTGACAGCACCCACACATCTTTATCCCATGCTAAACTGTGGTTGTAAAACATCTCTGTTGATAGTATCACACATGCCTAATCCATCTAAAATCTGGTTGTAGAACTTCTCTGTAAATAGTATCACACATGCCTAATCCATCTAAAATCTGGTTGTAGAACTTCTCAGCATGCAGTGATTACCTGTTCTAGCAGGCTTCCCACTTTCTTTCTGCCTGTCTTTTTCTGGTTTTTCCTTCTTGTCAGACATTCCGGGAGTTTCTGCCTTACTTCTTGTTTCTTTCTGCTTCTCATGTCTGGTTTTTCTCGCACGTGTTTCTTTCATTGTTGAGGTTTTACATTCAGATATATTACAAGTGACATTTACGGCTGTCGTAACATTTACGGCTGTTGTAAAATTTACTGCTGTGGTAACATTTACTGCTGTGGTAGGGGCTGATTCTGCTGCATCAGATGTAGATTTGGCAGCCTGACCAGGAGATGCAACCACATTACCACCACTGAGATGTTCAGACCCAAACACTGGCCAGGTTGGCAGTGTTTTACGGATGATATGTTTGAGTTTGGTCTTGATCTTGACAAAATGTCGCTTAAATTCCAGACCGTCTCCCTGTGAACATTGCAAGATAAAACAAAAACTGAAACAAAAGCAGTCTAACAATCTGACGTATTATACATTCTGACAAATTGCTTAGACATTCTGAAATCTGATACATCATATGTTCTGGAACATTACTTTCCACAACCGAAATCAAACAAGCTTTACATTCTGGAACATTACTTTCAACAACCTGAAATCTTACAAACTATATATTCTGGAACATTACTTTCAACAATCAAATTCTTACAGACTATATGTTCTGGAACATTACTTTCCACAACCGAAATCAAACAAGCTATACATTCTGGAACATTACTTTCAACAACCTGAAATCTTACAAACTATATATTCTGGAACATTACTTTCAACAATCAAATTCTTACAGACTATATGTTCTGGAACATTACTTTCCACAACCGAAATCAAACAAACTATACATTCTGAAACATTACTTTCAACAACCTGAAATCTTACAAACTATATGTTCTGGAACATTACTTTTAACAATCTGAAATCTAACAAACTATACTTTCTGGAACATTACTTTTAACAATCTGAAATCTCACAAACTATACATTCTGGAACATTACTTCCAACAGCCGAAATCTAACAAACTATAATTTCTGGAACATTACTTTTAACAATCTGAAATCTCACAAACTATACATTCTGGAACATTACTTCCAACAGCTGAAATCTAACAAACTATATGTTCTGGAACATTACATTCTGACATAACCTTAGACGATCTGACACACCATACATCCAGGGAATTACCTTAAACAATCTGACACACCATCATACATCCAGGGACATTACCTTAGACAATCTGACACACCATCATATATCCAGGGACATTACCTTAGACAATCTGACACACCATCATACATCCAGGGACAATACCTCAGACAATCTGACACACCATCATACATCCAGGGACATTACCTTAGACAATCAGACACACCATCATACATCTAGGGACATTACCTCAGACAATCTGAGATACCATCATACATCCAGGGACATTACCTCAGACAATCTGACACACCATACATCCAGGGACATTACCTTAGACAACCTGACACACCATCATACATCCAGGGACATTACCTTAGACTATCTGACACACCATCATACATCCAGGGACATTACCTTAGACTATCGGACACACCATCATACATCCAGGGACATTGCCTTAAACAATCGGACACACCATTATACATCCAGGGACATTACCTTAGACAATCTGAAATCCACCAGGAGGTTACCTGCCATTTCTATGAGGCAGATTTTGAAAATAAGGCGGGCTTTTGTCTTGTCAACAGTCGACACCGTCAGCTGTGGGTGTAGACACACAAGAGTTTATCATTATAATCATCATAACCATTGTGGATGTTGAATATATGTGAAGTGAACCATACGAACAAGCAACATTATCAACATACATTTTAAATAATATACCAGTATGAGCAGTGAGGTGGGAAGAAGAAAGAGAGAGTGGGAGGAAATGAGACAGTGCAAGAGAAGAAAGAGAGAGTGGGAGGAAATGAGACAGTGCAAGAGAAGAAAGAGAGAGTGGGAGGAAATGAGACAGTGCAAGAGAAAAAAGGCTGGAAGGCAAAGCAGAGAGAGGAGAGCGAAGAAGAGAGAGAAAGAGGGGATTGGGAGCAAAGGAGAGGTAAACAGACCTAAGAAAGGAAATAAGATGTAATGCGAGGAGAAATAAAAGCTTTCAAAGTGACAGAAAAAAAAACAACAAAGGCTAACCTTTTTACCCTGGGAATGTTTAAAAAAAACAAAACCAAAAAAAAAAAAAAATTCACAGAGAAAAATGGTATAAAGCAAACATTTCATGAAGGTCTCACTAATTTTGAAAAGGAAAAAATATTAGATATCTGTGTTTTTTCTCTGAAGTATATTAAAAGAGCAATCAATAAACATGAACAAGTGAAGCTTTAATTGGAGTCATTCCTCAGGGCACTAAAAAAATGTATCAGGTAACTCACACATGACCCACATCTGAATTCTAACACAAAGGCTACGTGCAAATGATGATGCCAAACTTGCTTTAAAAACTCATTCTGTTCACAAGAAACACATACAGAGCAAGCGGAATTCACAGGAAAGAGTAGCAGATGGAAATGCCGGGTAGCAAAGAGTAGCAGATGGAAATGCCGGGTAGCAAAGAGTAGCAGATGGAAATGCCGGGTAGCAAAGAGTAGCAGATGGAAATGCCGGGTAGCAAAGAGTAGCAGATGGAAATGCCGGGTAGCAAAGAGTAGCAGATGGAAATGCCGGGTAGCAAAGAGTAACAGATGGAAATGCCGGGTAGCAAAGAGTAGCAGATGGAAATGCCGGGTAGCAAAGAGTAGCAGATGGAAATGCCGGGTAGCAAAGAGTAGCAGATGGAAATGCCGGGTAGCAAAGAGTAGCAGATGGAAATGCCGGGTAGCAAAGAGTAGCAGATGGAAATGCCGGGTAGCTTCTTGGGTTAAAAGAAAGCTTAGTCTGCCAAAGGACACGACTCGGTATCCCTGTCTAGGCTGATGGACACAGGGGGGTGGGGGGGCAACCTGGGGCTGCAAGAAATAAACATTTCACTAAGGGGATAAGCCGTGTCATTAACCAACACAGAACAGGCATCATCAGTCGTTTTACACTTGTGGAGCTTTTAAGGAGGAGATCAGAGCACCTAAGGATCTGTTCGGAGTGCTGTGATGACAAACCTTTCTAATCACTAAAGTCAGTACCGATTTTATAGATATGGTTATTTAAAAAAAAGCTCAAGTCTTATCTTCAAATAGAAGGTATAACAAAACAAAACATAACATAACCCTTGACCTGTTAAGGTCGTGGAGGTGTATAGATGGAAGCACTAGGACACAAAACCCGCCATCTTTCTTTGACTTCGGCTTGTTGAACAAGTGTGTGATAACCAAGTCGTGTCCACTTCTTGATGTTGTCATTCCAGGTTCTTCTTTGCCCACCATAAGCCCTAGCGTTCCATAAAGTAGTCTTTGTGATCAAATCATGTCTCACGATGTGCATGAACCAAACTAACCTGCGACATGTCACCACTGCCAATGAAGGCTCCTGATGACCTGCAAAATTGCTTATTTTGTCTCTGACACATTTTATAAAGTTTCATGTTCTAAATAACTAATTCGTAAAATGCGCCTATAGCATTTATGTTTTAAATCTGAATCCTCCTTTCCAGTACAGGATGGTAACATAAGACACAAGGTAACATGTGACACGATGGTAACGTGTGACAGAATGGTAACGTGTGACAGGACAGTGACATGTGACAGGATGGTAATGTGTGACAGAATGGTAACAAGTTTCAGGATGAAACATATGACTGGATGTAACATGTGACAGATGGTAACATGTGACATGATGGTAACATGTGACATAATGGTAACAAGTGACAGGATGGTAACATGTAACAGGATGGTAACATGTGACAGGATTGTAATCCTTAGTACAGAATGGTAACATGTGACAGATAGTAACATATGACAGGATGGTAACATGTGACAGAATAGTAACAACGTACAGGATGAAACATGTAACAGATGGTAACATGTGACAGGATGGTAACATGTGACAGAATGGTAACATGTGAAACAATAGTAACGTTTGAAAGGATGTAACATATGACAGGATAACATGTGACAGGATGGTAACATGTGACAAGATGTAACATGTGACAAGATGTAACATGTGACAGATGGTAATGTGTGACAGGATGGTAACATGTGACATAATAACAACATGTGACAGGGTGGTAACATCTGACAAAATGGTAACAAGTGACGGGATGAAACATGTGACAAGATGTAACATGTGACAAGATGTAACATGTGACAGATAGTAACATGTGATAGGATGGTAACAAGTGACAGGATGAAACATGTGACAGGATGGTAACAAGTGACAGGATGGTAATCCTTAGTACAGAATGGCAACATGTGACAGGATGTAACGTGTGACAGATGGTAACATGTGACAGGATGGTAACATGTGACAGGATGGTAACATATGACAGGATGGTAACATGTGACACAATAGTAACATGTGACAGGAAGGTAACATTAATTGAAAACATACCACAAAACCTGAAGATTTTACTCCATATCCTTGACTTTCTAGGAATGACGTTAATTTCTCAATTGTCTCCAAACGAGAGGTAGTCACAAAGAACCGGGTCATTCTCTTGACTAAGCTTTGATACGGTGTCTGAAATAAAATGTCAACACTGACAAACTGATGTGCAGGTGTAGAAAACAAAGCCAAATACATATAAAAACACAAATAAATGCGCGCACACGCACAAAGAAATAGAGAGATATTATCTGTAGCGTACATATGTATGTGTGTGCTCATGCGTGTGTCAGTGAGGAGTGTCACAAAGCCACAAGATACAACACACCCATACACAGTAACAATGACCACTAGAAGTAACACCACAAACAATAACATTGCCCACTAAAAGTAAAACTCCCACACAAAGTAACAATGCCCACTGGAAGTAAGACTACCACATACAGTAACAATGCCCACTGGAAGTAAGACTACCACACACAGTAACAATGCCCACTGGAAGTAATACTACCACATACAGTAACAATGCCTACTGGAAGTAATACTACCACACACAGTAACAATGCCCACTGGAAGTAATACTACCACATACAGTAACAATGCCCACTGGAAGTAAGACTACCACACAAAGTAACAATGCCCACTGGAAGTAATACTACCACATACAGTAACAATGCCCACTGGAAGTAAGACTACCACATACAGTAACAATGCCCACTGGAAGTAATACTACCACATACAGTAACAATGCCCACTGGAAGTAAGACTACCACATACAGTAACAATGCCCACTGGAAGTAAGACTACCACATACAGTAACAATGCCCACTGGAAGTAACACTACCACATACAGTAACAATGCCCACTGGAAGTAACACTACCACATACAGTAACATTGCCTACTAGCAGTAATACTACCACATACAGTAACAATGCCACTAAAAGTAACACTACCACACAGTAACAATGCCTATTGAAGTAATACTACCACACACAGTAACAATGCCTACTAGCAGTAACACTACCACATACAGTAACAATGCCCATGGAAGTAACACAAAAACACACAGTAACAATGCCCACTTGATGTAACACATGCCCAATAGAAGAATAACATCCACACATAGTAACAATGCCCACTAGAAGTAACACTATCACATACAGTAACAATGCCACTAGAAGTAACACTACCACATACAGTAACAATGCCCACTAGAAGTACTAAAAAAACCCCACCTGTGATGTGCCTGGTGTGAACTGCATCTGAGTACTCAGCAACATGTCGTCTGGCTGTGCTGGCTGGGAGAAGCTGATTGGGCGCCAAACCTCTCCCACAGAAGATAATGAATTTTCATTGGTGGATCTGTCCGGCTGAGATGCTGAGACACCTCTATAGATCAAATGAGGACAGGGTCAACTTTGATCAAGCTGTAGAATCAACTATTATCAAAATGTATGGTCAACTACGATCAAGCTGTATGGTCAACTATTATCAAGATGTAGGGTCAAATATGATTAAGCAGTAGAGTCAACTACGATCAAGCTGAAGGGTAAACTATGATCAAGATGAAGGGTTAACTATGATCCAGCTGTAGAGTCAACTATAATCCAGCTGTAGAGTCAACTATCGTCAGACTGCAGTGTCAACTATGATCAATCATTAGGGATCAACTATGATCAATCATTAAGGAGCAACTATGATCAATCATTAGGGATCAACTATGATCAATCATTAGGGATCAACTATCATCAATCATTAAGGATCAACTATGATCAATTATTAGGGATCAACTATGATTAATCAGTAAGGATCAACTATGATCAATCAGTAAGGATCAACTCTGATCAATCAGTAAGGATCAACTCTGATTAATCAGTAAGGATCAACTCTGATCAATCAGTAAGGATCAACTCTGATCAATCAGTAAGGATCAACACTGATCAATCAGTAAGGATCAACTCTGATCAATCAGTAAGGATCAACTATGATTAATCAGTAAGGATCAACTCTGATCAAACAGTAAGGATCAACTCTGATCAATCAGTAAGGATCAACTCTGATTAATCAGTAAGGATCAACTCTGATCAATCAGTAAGGATCAACTCTGATCAATCAGTAAGGATCAACTCTGATTAATCAGTAAGGATCAACTCTGATCAATCAGTAGGGTCTACTATGATCAAGCTGTAGGGCCTCACATTTGTCATAGAGGTTGTGTCCAGGATGTCTGTCAGACAAGTGCCCACGCAAAATGTCCCATAGGTGTCCACCCAGGATGTCCCATGTCTGTCAGACAAGTGCCCAAGCAGGATGTCCCATGTCTGTCAGACAAGTGCCCAAGCAAGATGTCCCATAGGTGTCCACCCAGGATGTCTCATGTCTGTCAGACAGGTGCCCAAGCAGGATGTCCCATGTCTGTCAGACAAGTGCCCAAGCAAGATGTCCCATAGGTGTCCACCCAGGATGTCCCATGTCTGTCAGACAAGTGCCCAAGCAGGATGTCCCATGTCTGTCAGACAAGTGCCCAAGCAGGATGTCCCATGTCTGTCAGACAAGTGCCCAAGCAGGATGCCCCCATGTCTGTCAGACAAGTGCCCAAGCAGGATGTCCTATGTCTGTCATACAAGTGCCCAAGCAAGATGTCCCATAGGTGTCCACCCAGGATGTCCCATGTCTGTCAGACAGGTGCCCAAGCAGGATGTCCCATAGGTGTCCACTCAGGATGTCCCATGTCTGTCAGACAGGTGCCCAAGCAGGATGTCCCATGTCTGTCAGACAAGTGCCCAAGCAAGATGTCCCAGAGGTGTCCATCCAGGATGTCCCATGTCTGTCAGACAAGTGCCCAAGCAGCATGTCCCATAAGTGTCCACCCAGGATGTCCCATGTCTGTCAGACATGTGCCCAAGCAGGATGTCCCATAGGTGTCCACCCAGGATGTCCCATGTCTGTCATACAGGTGCCCAAGCAAGATGTCCCATAGGTGTCCACCCAGGATGTCCCATGTCTGTCAGACAAGACAAGTGCCCAAGCAGGATGTCCCATAGGTGCCCACCCAGGATGTCCCATGTCTGTCAGACAAGACAAGTGCCCAAGCAGGATGTCCCATAGGTGTCCATCCAGGATGTCCCATGTCTGTCAGACAAGTGCCCAAGCAGGATGTCCCATAGGTGTCCACCAAGGATGTCCCATGCCTGTCAGACAAGTGCCCAAGCAGGATATCCCATGTCTGTCAGCTACGTGCCCACCCAGCAGACAGACTGTGTCTGCCTACATGATTAACTTATGTCACCTACCCAGGAGGGGATGATAAACGCATGCTGTCATCCAGAACTGAAGTTTTCCGTCTCTTGGATGGGTGTCCAGCTGGAGAGTTACAGACATTATCACCTTCTGTATGAATTTTAAAAAAAAATTGGGTGAAATAGCAAACATCAGGGAACTGCAAGTAGGAAAAGGTAGATTACATACTTTGGTCTCATAAAATTACACAATACACTGATAAACATTTCAACAGAAACACACAAAATGACAGAACACCGTGATAGATCAAATCTTTAACTACAGTTTATGTAAAGGTCCAATTATATCATCACTACAGTATACCTAAATGACCAATTAGATCAACACTACAGCATATGTAAAGGTCCAATTACATAAACACTACAGTATTCATAGAGGTCCAATTAGATAAACACTACAGTATCATCATCATCATTGCCCTGTCGCTGATCACCTACTTCAATCTTTTACAGTCAGAACAATGGACTTCATAGTTGCATGCTCAAGGCAAGTTTTGTATCCAGTTCTTTCTTGGTCTACCTCTTGTTCTATCCTGGGCCCTGTAGTATTGTTTTTGAGAGGCTGTTAGATTATATTACATGTCCGAACCATGGCATTTTCCATCTTTTCACTGCAGTTAAAAGAGGTTCAGAGTTGCCTATGTGATGGGTAATTTTTCTGTGAACCTCCTCATTTGTGATGTGGTCTCTCTATGATATGCAAAGCATTTTTCGGAAAGATCTCACTTCAAACGCCTGCTAAGGTCCACATTACACAGCCATATGTAAATGCACTAAATGTACAGCTGAAGAAGGATGAAGAAATATGTTTTTGGACATCCATGCTGTGACCCAGCCACCTCTAACGCTGATGCAACAGGAACTTCTTCTTCTCTTCCACCTTGTTCCTCAGTGAAATGTCGGGGGCGGATGTAATATTCGTTGATGAGCTCTGTCAAGAGCACTATTAAGACTGATGTTCATTTCTGTAAGGCTGTTCTTAATGCCATCACTCCATCTTTTCTGAGGTTCCACTCGCTCTATACCCGTTGTAACGTTTTAGTGTGGCTCGCTGGCAAATAGTACCAGGGCATTCTTGTTAGGTGTTCAAACCACTTCATTTGTTGTTCTTTGATGACTTGTTAGACTAATTATTATATCAACAATGGTTTTAATAGAGTACAAGAAAACACCCTTGATGCTTTTTTTAGTAAACATATTCATATCATGACCTTCTTATCACTGTGCAGTTGTGAACACAGCCAATAGCGTAAAGTCTGCATCTCTCTCTCTAGAAAAGTCATTTAAGTGACATTAATGGGAGTCAGATAAACTGGAAGAGTCAGTCCTGCGGCTTCTCAAAGCTACAGGGTTAAATAAACCACGATATTGAGAGGACATAAACAGATATTCTTACTGAAGCCATCTTGTGAATGAGAGTCTCAAAGTGTCAACAACGACAGGAAGAGATATTTTAAATGCAGCTATACTTGCCTTCTTTCAGTGCAAACAATTTATTGTAAAACTGATGTTTCTTGATTTGTGGTAGTGTGTAACGTCTCTTTGGGTTTTCCACCAGAACTGCTCGACACAAAGCTGAGGGGAATAAGTGGAAAATATATAGCAGCTGATGATGATGATGACAAAGAATACACTGGGAAATATAGAGCAGCTGATGCTGTTGATGATGATGATATAGAATACACTAGAAAACACACTGGGAAATATAGAGCATCTGATGATGATGAAGGGTAGCGGAGAATAAATTAGTTAATGTAGAGCGGTTGATGATGGTAATGATGATAAAGAGCTGTGGGAAATACGATGGGACATACAACTGAAGATGAAAATAAAGGCCTGTGGGGAATACAAAAGGACATATAACTGACGATGAAGATAAAGGGTTGTGGGGAATACAAAAGGGACATACAACTGATGATGAAAATAAAGGCCTGTGGGGAATACAAAAGGACATATAACTGACGATGAAGATAAAGGGTTGTGGGGAATACAAAAGGACATACAACTGATGATGAAAATAAAGGCCTGTGGGGAATACAAAAGGACATATAACTGACGATGAAGATAAAGGGTTGTGGGGAATACAAAAGGGACATACAATGCACAAAGAACTCGATCGAATTGCCGCCTGGTGTGATGGTTCCAATGCCTATGTCAATCCCTCGAAGGCATCAGTGTCATGGTTCTCTTTGAACAATCACATTGTCAAGTCGGACTTACCAGAAGTGAAAATGCGTGATTATGTATTGATCAGAACCAACGTTATGACGTTTCTCGGGGTGAGGTTCGATCGCAGCTTGTCATTCAGGGAACACGTTGACCATGTGATAACAAAAGCACGCAAAGGTCTATCTGCAATGAGGATTATGGCTGCTTCCAATATCGAGCAAAGACTGCTGGTGCTTCTATTCTACAGTCTGGTCCTTTCCCCCATTGAATACGCTCTGGCCATCCTCACTGTCAGTGCTACCCAGATTGAACAACTCGAGAAGGTGCAAAATGAAGCCATGTGTATTATTTTGGGATGTACAAGAGACACATCCTGTGGAGCAATGAGGTATCTACTTGACTTTCCAACAATGAACCAAAGGATCAGGATGTGGAGGGCTCGGGCATACCTCAAAATATGTGCTGATAAGAAACACCCACTGCATCAAGCGCTTTTTAGTGGGCGACAGACTGAAGAGGGGAAAATCGTGGCTAGGTCGGGCAGAAGATGTTATTAGGCAAATATGCAGCCTAACCGACATCATACCTGGTGCAGAATGGATACCTGTGCCTCAGGCGTTTATTTGTACATTTTCCTGTATTGTCACACTCAACAGGCGATGTAGAGAAGAGAATTCTGTTGCTGTTAATGCAGAAGTCAACGCTCTCATCGGTGAAAATTCAGACGAAGCAGATGCACTAATCTATACAGACGGATCCGTTATACGCCAAAGAAGAAGCGCATGGGCATTTACAGCACGCTCAGCGGGCAGAACAGTCAAAGAAGCCAACGGCGCCTTCTCCATGACAACCAGCAGCATGACGATGGAGGTGATGGCAGTGACGCAAGCGTTTGCCTGGCTTGAAACACAAAAATACACCCGCATATGTATACTCAGTGATTCAATGAGTATGATCCGGAGGGTTCAGGCAGGTTCAGTGCGAAGACAATGGCTTGAATCAATTCAGAAGTCCACTGTGCGAGGAGTCACCTTTATTTTTGTTCCGGGACACGCAGGCGTCGATGGAAATGAAAGAGCTGACAGGTTGGCTGGATCCGCTATCACTACCGACGGTCAGCCTATGGATCATGCTGATATTATCAATGCCCTCAGAGAAATGGGAAGAATAGAGGACTTTGGTGGCAGTGAATCCACATCACTCGCCAGAATGGTAGACTTGGGAATTAAGATCGGCACAGCAAAAAACGAGACGCACACCGGACACGTCAGAAGACTTGTTAATCAACATAGAACTGGTACTATTAGCCATCGGACGTTGGGATTCATACTGAGGGGAGGATCTGAGCACCTATGGACATGTCCGGAGTGCAATGATGATAACCCAACTAACTAACTAACAATAGGACATATAACTGACAATGAAGATAAAGGGTTGTGGGTAATACAATAGGACATATAACTGACGATGAAGATAAAGGCCTGCGGGGAATACAATAGGACATATAACTGACGATGAAAATAAAGGCCTGTGGGGAATACAAAAGGGACATACAACTGACGATGAAGATTAAGGGTTGTAAAGAATACAGTGGGATATACAACTGACGATGAAGATTAAGGGTTGTAAAGAATACAGTGGGATATACAACTGATGATGAAGTTATGTTATGTTATCCCAATTGACGTCGCTGCACACTGGGCCTTCTCATGAGCGCTCAGTCCTCCGATGCAGCAGCCACTCCAAGGCACTTCTACTAATTGTTGCCATGAGAAGTTGGTCATATTGTATTCTGTCTCGGCCTCAAAGATGGCACAGACGTGCTTCACCATGCTTTACTTCCATGTCACGCAATCGTGTTAATGTCTGCGATTCATTATTATCCACTAGCCCAGTTCGTGCAGCGTTTTCGATATCTGCTCTGACCATGCCTCTTCCCACATGCCTTAGTGCAATGCTTGCCAGTTGGTCTGCTCGCTCATTTCCCTTTACGCCCACATGACCAGGTGAAGGAGGTTAAGTGCGATTTTCGAATGCCTTCTGCCCATGCAGGGAACAGCGCCAGTTGCTATCTTTTGAAGCATGTTCATGGAGTCTGATACAATTACTGCCTGTGCTCGGATACCCATGCTAAAGCTCTAGAAGCAGCGGCTTTCTCCATGGTCATGCTTGATGTGGTTGTCTGGTTAGCGGCGCTGTCCTCTTTTACAGATTTTCCCATTGTTTTTGCGCTGTGTATGCCCATCCTGACCTTGAACCGCGCTTCATGGATCCATCTGTGTAGATGATGTCTTCTGGGTGTGAATGCTGATCTGTCAGTGCCCTTACCTGTGTCTAAGGCCGCAGGAATCTGATCCCTGCATACCTTTCCAGTGTGATGACAACCTTAGAGATGCAGCACATGTCTACTGGGGTATTCGTCTATTCTTTCCGGTGACTGAATTTGTCTAGGTCACATACCTGCTGGATTGAATCTTTAACCTAGGCCATCCAGGAGAGGCTCTTTTGAGACCCCTTCTTTCGGTGTCGTGTATAGCTTTGTGCAGTGGGCGATTAACAACTGCTAATATCCTCATGTACGCCTTGACCTGTGCGACATTGTGTCTTCTCTGCAGCTGAGTATAGTCCCATGGCCTCACTCTGTAGTCGGTCCAGTCTTTCGCACTGGGGTTTGCTGACAGTGAGGAGGCCCTGACCATAGTCAATGATGATAAATGGCTGTAGGGAATACAATGGGATATACATATTTCCGGGACGGTTTAAGCTCAGATGCATGAAACTCCGAAAAAATCTAGAAAAAAACAGGACTTCCTTTGTTACTTTTGCATCCCATTAACTACAAACAATGCACTTATTCCATTCTCTTTACGTATAAGTAGTGGTGGTTAAGACAACACAATAATGACCACTGTCATCTTGTCCCGGACGTGTGGGCATGGGATTTTTGGCTGCGTGAGTTTGGGAATCCAGCTCAAGGTGTTTTCTGATCTGTCTGCTTTGAACTGCTGCCGCCGCTACCCTGACTCTTCTGCATGTTGCTATAAGTAGGATACAGAAAGGAGACCTAAGACGGTGCTTACAGAGAGCCAGTGTGTTGATCTTGTTCCAGGGTGTGCTGGTGATGCAGCATTCCTTCCAGGCCCTGTACATCTTGTCTCTCTGAACCGGGGCATCCCAAGGAAGTTCTGAACAACAGAAATATGTTTTAACAATTGAAACAAAGAACAGTGCATTTAATTATGTTTGTATCAATACATTTTCATGTCAATGAGACGGAAACTTTACAAATGATAACAAGAGTGGTCAAAAAGAGACCAATGAAGGAGTAAGAACAGTGGTAGGTAAGTAAATGATTTACAGGACATCAAAGAATCAAATGGTTTGTCATCTGATTTGAATGGAACAAAATTGGCAAGCAGCTAGAGGGTACTCTACGAGAACAGCAGGCTACAAGTCAAGAGGTCAACCAAGAAATGGATGGGCAGAGAAAGTAAAAGGGACACTACAGATATGCATTATGACATTAACACAAGCTAGGCAACCAGCAAAAGACAGGAAACTATATCTAACTACTCTCTGTAATCCTTTGCTGCATAAGCAGTAGGAGAAAAGAAGAACAAGAGTGGTGGGTAGCCATGGCTACAGTGACCAAATGGCCTGCATGTGAACCTAAAGGTTCAGGGTTCAATTCTATATGAAGACCTAGTTAGATAATTAACATGGGCTCCAATGTTAACACAGCCAGGCTCCAAGGCTAACACAGTCAGGCTCCAAAGTTAACACAGCCAGGCTCCAAGGTTAACACAGCCAGGCTCCAAGGTTAACACAGCCAGGCTCCAAGGTTAACACAGCCAGGCTCCAAGGTTAACACAGCCAGGCTCCAAGGCTAACACAGATAGGCTATAAGGTTAACACAACCTAAAAGTGATAAAAACTAGGGGGACTGCAGCTTAGCTAATACCCAGAAATGCATCCACAGAACAGTGACCAAACAAAAGGGAGAAAGAGAACAACGCACAAACATAAAACAAAAATCGGCACACACACAAAATGGACCAGTTTGCCCTTTGTTGCTGTTGTGGTTTTATGTTGCGAAGGGCTCCGACTGAAAAGTCAGATAGTGTCATAATGTACTACAGAGGGGCACAGGAAATACTTCCCATGGATGATGAGTGTGACTAGCAAGACCCACCTGCATGTAACTTAGCACAAAGCTTGGGCAGCTTTATAGAGATCACATGTTGCCCATGCATCATGATCTCTACCTCGACCTGCCTTGTTTTTGTTTATCCAATAGGAAAGGTTAAAACCATTACGTTTGGAACAAAGCAGGCTGCACAAGCATCCAAGGAAAAAGGGTTTAAAGCAGGTATGTCATACATTTAGCACACTGGCCGTATGCAGCCCTGTACCATCACATCTGCGGCCCACAATAAACATTTTCTGCAATAATGTTTTTTAAATGACTTTAATTAATTATCACGAGTGGCCCTTAAGACAACACAAATGTGACCCAAATGGTCCTAGGGGTAACTAGTTTTACACGACTGGTTTAAAGTAAACTTCTAAATTAGATCCAGAATTGCCAGTTATCCTAGAAGGATAATAAAGCCAGAAATGTATAGACTACAAGAAGCCTTTCTTACCCCCAGCAATAAGAGTGACTAAAACGATGCCACATGACCACACATCTGCAGGTTCAGCCCTGTAGGGTGCACCTTTGAGAACCTCTGGTGCTGTGTAAGGTTTCGTACCACACATGCGACAGAGTTCCCTCTCCTGACCCTGATACCTGAACACTGTAGCCATTCCAAAGTCAGTAATCTGAAGCACATCTGCTCGGGAAAGATTTAAAAACAAAATATCAATTAATGTTAATTAACAGAGAAGCTACAAGCTGTGAATATGAGTCTTTCAAAATTAATGGCATATCATACAGAGACCACATCAAAATGACGAAGTTTGCCATGTAATTACCCAACACATGGATAACTATGAACCTCTTTTAACTACAGTGAAAAGACAAAAAATGCAATGGTATGGAAATGTAATAAGATCTAACAGCCTCTCAATAATTTTTTTTTTACAGGGCTCAGTAGAGAAGAAGAGGAAAAGAGCCAGACCAAGAAAGAACTGGATACAGAACTTGACTGATTGGACAGGCCTTGGGTATAATACAACCATGAATACCCCGAGTGCTGTGATGTCGGTTATTGAATCAAATCAAATACAACCATGAAATCCCTTGCAACTGAACACCAAAGGTGGAGGCAGCTAATTAAACAGTCAACAGCAACCGGTCACCCAACAGTATACAGTCTTACAGGATGATGATGATGATGTTAATTAACATCGCAGACTGAAAGAGAACGAACGAACAAACTTTTTTTTCAGAGGGTCCCAATTAGGCACGCAGGCCAGTCTTACATTCGGCCCTTCCAGTCATCTTTGGCACAGCAGTTGTATTTTACTAATAAAGCATGTTATAATCATATGATGATATGCATATTATGAATATTATAAAAGAACACAAAAGCATGAGTTGTAAAGTGCATGCAAAAACATGCGTGTGCATACACACACCCACATACATACACCCACTCACTTACACAAACACACACATGGGCCTACATACAGGCATGCATGGGACACACACATGCACACACGGATACTCCCACAGACAAAAACACACACACACACACATACATATAAAGACACACAGAGAGACACTTTTACATATATGCTCACACACTGACACACACAAACATGCACATACATACAGACACACGTAGTTAAACACACACAAAAATACAGACAAACATGCAGACAAACACATACTGACACCCACAGAGACATTCATACAGAAATTCAGACACAGACAACCACACACACTCAGAAAAACACATAGAAATACACACACAGACACATATAAACAGCACACACAGACATATACTCTGAAATGCAGACACATACACACATCAGAGAGGCACACACACACACACATAGAGACTCAGACAAAGACACCCATTGACAAATACACTAGACACATGTGCACACAATACACGCACACACACTGATTGTATGATATTCTCATCCAACAAAACCCACGTACGATCCTCATCTAATAAAACCAACTTCCATTCCCATTCAACAAAATTCACATATTCTCATCCAACAAAACACATATCATTCTCATCCAACAGAACCCACATACTATTCCCATCCAACAAATTTCACATATTCTCATCCAACAAAACACATATCATTCTCATCCTACAGAACCCACATACCATTCATCCAACAAAATTCACATATTCTCATCCAACAAAACTCACATATCATCCCCATCCAACAAAACCCCCATATCATCCCCATCCAACAAACCCACATATCATCCCCATCCAACAAAACCCACAAATCATCCCCATCCAACAAAACCCACAAATCATCCCCATCCAACAAAACCCACAAATCATCCCCATCCAACAAAACCCACATATCATCCCCATCCAACAAAACCCACAAATCATCCCCATCCAACAAAACCCACAAATCATCCCCATCCAACAAAACCCACAAATCATCCCCATCCAACAAAACCCACAAATCATCCCCATCCAACAAAACCCACAAATCATCCCCATCCAACAAAACCCACATATCATCCCCATCCAACAAAACCCACATATCATCCCCATCCAACAAAACCCACAAATCATCCCCATCCAACAAAACCCACATATCATCCCCATCCAACAAAACCCATATATCATCCCCATCCAACAAAACTCACACATCATCACCATCCAATCATCATCATCATCATCAAACAAAACCCATTTTAAGCCACATACCATTTTCATCCAGTAAGAGATTCTCAGGCTTGAGGTCTCTGTGGCAGACGCCGCGGCCGTGCAAGTATTCCTGTAACAGCATTTAAACAACAAAGTCAATTAATAAACAAGGAACCATCTCCACAAGCTTTTCCTGGTATTATTTTTTAAAGCTTGGATTTTGGTGCTTTATTAATATCCTACCCCAAACAGGGAATATCCACAGGTCACGGGACAGTCAAATAATTCAGGGGGTGGTAGACAGGCTGCATGCAGTCGTGGGACCTAGGCTGCATGCAGTCGTGGGATCTAGGCTGCACTCTCTCGTGGGACGTAGGTGGGTTGGAGTAAGGGCCAGTTGTAGATGTTTTAAGGTTGTTAAAAGCATCAGAAAGCTGGGAAACCCGGTCTCACCACCCTCTAAAAAGTTGAATTGTCCTGTGACGTCACCTGAGGTAGGATATTAATCAAGAACCTGGATTTCTTCTCCAAATGGTTTCTGGTGCAAGACAAATAATAAATGTTGATTCAAACTGTATAGTGATGCATTGTCTGCGTGTGCAATATTTCCAGAAGTCTGTGTGGCTTAATATTTGCCATAAAGTCTGAAGTACATTTGCTAAGTTCAACATGCAGAAAGTATAACATGAAAATAAATACTACCAAAACTGAAGTAATGCAGGTGAGCAGAATTCCTAGTCCGCTACGTATCAGGCTGAATAGTTAGTACCTGCCTGAAGCAAGTTAAAGAATTTAAATATCTAGGAAGTATATTCTCGGAGGATGGGAAAAAAGATCAAGAAAAAGAAACAAGATTCCAACAAGGCAGCACACTTACATACCAACTGGCACCATTATTAGGACATCCAAACATAAGTATGAGCACCAAGAAACAGTTTATAAACTGCATATTCATACCAACACTGTGCTACAAGTGCCAGACTTGGACATTATCAAAGACTAACCTATGTAAAACTAACACCTGTGAAATGAGATGTCTGAGAAAAGCCGCCAACTTAACCATCCAAGACACAGTTAGAAAGGATATTATCAGACAGATTGTAGGAACAACACCATGCAGCAAATTTATTGAGAAACAGAAGATCAAATGGTTTGCTCATTTAGTAAGAATGCAGCCAGTAGCAACGTATGTGCTACACATGAAAAGATCTGAAGTAAAAGCATGAGGCTTCTTAGGAGAAGATGGATTGATGACATTAAAGAGTTTCTTCATTGACTGGAATGACAGTAGCCATTGCTGCCCATCCAGCAATGGATCACAACCTGTTCCTCCCCACAAGGCAAAAGTGGAAACTGATAATGGTGATGATGATAAAGCCTTATAACCAGAATGCTATGACTGTGTCTCAGTAGAATTAAAAAAAAAAATGATAACTCACAACTCCTTCAATCAGATGGTGAAAGTATCTGAGAGCATCTTGAATTGGCATTCCAACATCCGGTTCTGAAACAGCATGAAAACAACGATTTTAGTGTGTGCTCCCTGACTTTCTCACACACACACACATGTACATATATACTCCCTCTCTTACATATATATACATGTACATTTATACTCCCTCTCTTACATATATACACATGTATATTTATACTCCCTCTCTTACATATATACACATGTACATTTATACTCCCTCTCTTACACATATACATACATACCCCCTCTCTTACATATATACCAACATACCCCCTCTCTTACATATATACCAACACACCCCCTCTCTTACATATATACATACATACCCCCTCTCTTACAAATATACATACTCCCTCTCTTACACATATAGATACTCCTTCTCTTACATATATACATACACACTCCCTCTCTTACATATATACACACACACTCCCTCTTACATATATACATACACACTCCCTCTTACATATATACATACACACTCCCTCTCTTACATATATACATACACACTCCCTCTCTTACATATATACATACACACTCCCTCTCTTACATATATACATACACACTCCCTCTCTTACATATATACATACTCCCTCTCTTACATATATACATACACACTCCCTCTCTTACATATATACATACTCCCTCTCACATATATACATACTCCCTCTCTTACATATATACATACTCCCTCTCTTACATATATACATATTCCCTTTCTTACATATATACATACTCCCTCTCTTACATATATACATACTCCCTCTCTTACATATATACATACTCCCTCTCTTACATATATACATACTCCCTTTCTTATATATATACATACTCCCTCTCTTACATATATACACAAGTACATTTATACTCCCTCTCTTACATGTATACACACACACTCCGTCTCTTACATTTGTACATACACACTCCGTCTCTTACATTTGTACATACACACTCGCTCTCTTACACACACATATATATACAAATACTCACTCTTTTACATATATACCCATATACTACTTCTCTCACATGTACAAATATCCTAGACCAGTGGTCTCTCAACCTTTTTCAGCTCCCGCCCCCTTGAGTATACGACAGGACCTTCACACACCCCTTCCCTTGAGTACATAGAAAGACCCTCGCACACCCTCCCCTTGAGTATACAGCAAGACCCTCATGCCCCCTTTCCTTGAGTTTACGACAAGACCGTCACAGCTCACTGAGTAAATGAGAAGACACTCCCATCTCTCCAACTCAACTATATGTGATACAAAATTAGAAGGACAATAAATTCCACAACACAGGAAACATACAGTATGGAGACGTTTTGGTCAGAATATATTCTTAACCTATAATTAAATGCCTGTGTTATCATATTAATCCGATTTTTAACTAGATATACAAACTGCTAATGAAAACAAAAAATGAAATTTGCTTTTTAATTTATAAATAATTTGTTTAAAATACTGTACAAATAAACTGGAAAAAAAAATGATATAACGAATTGGCACAAACACAAATGAACTAAATTTCAAAACTGCTTGACACCACTGTCCTAGACACCTAAAAAAAGTCATGAAGATGTTTTGAAAGAAAGTGACTCTCCTCATCAGAAGGAGAAAACTGGTGCACATGGTGATGGTGGGACAGGTGGAAGGGAAAAGAGGTGGCGGGAGACCGAGAGAGAAGATGCTGGGCAGTTTGACATCATGGCATGAAAGATGATCTGTGTCAGAAATCTCTTCTTGGCATTCACTGGCTGAAAAGTTCTGGCCACTTCTGGACTTTAAATCTTGTTTCAGAACTTGAGTTTTGTGTGCACATTTGATTTACAGATATGGCTTAGTTGTGTACAGACTGTTGGTTCCTTGCCTCTCAAGCAGACTAAAGACTACGTGTGTATGTATGTGTAGGTTTATGTCTGTGTGCGTCGGAAGTGTGTATTTGTATAGGTCTTTTTGTGTGCCTGCGTGTGTGTATGTATGTATGTGTGTGTATAGCTGTGTGTGTCTATGTGGTATGCGTGTGTGTTTTAGAGCGCATGTCTGTGTGGGTGACTGTGGGTATGAGTGTATTATGTATGTATGTGTGTGTGTGCATGTTCGTATGTATGTGGATGTGTGTGTAATGGGTGCTTATGTGTGTGTGTGTGTGTGTGTGAGTGTTCGCTTGCGCACATATTTTACCACCCATGCTTTTGTTTTGATATTCATAATATGCATATTATTCCATGAACATAACATCCTTTATTGATGAAATACAACTGCTGTGTGAAAGATGAGAGTTTGGAAGGGCCGAATGTAAGACAGGCCTACGTGCCTAATTTGTAACTAAAGTTCGTCCGTTTGTTCGTTCACTCCGACTTTGAAAAAAAGGCCTCATTAGTTGACTCTTAAGATATGCTTGTTAGGGAGGCAGCGGGTATATTCTTCACACTCTCACCCCTTCCCCCATAGCTCGGACTACAAGATCTCCGACACCAAACAGCAAATAATTGTGTCTATGTCTGACACAAAAGAAACACTTTACCTATTCTGTCAAACAGTTCTCCGCCACTGGCATACTTCAGAAAGAGATACTCTACTTCATCCGCTTTCCGATATCCATAGAATCGGATTATGTTCTTGTGATTCAGCATCCGGTGTATGCAGATCTGGAAAAAATACAACAGCACATAATTGGATCATTAAGATGAAACCAATCCCACAGCAGAAACAGCCAAAGTGCTGTCAGCGATATTTGGAGCCACTTGGAGCAAATCTCCCAAAATCTTCTTCTTCTTTCATTCGCTTGAAATAGATTAAATATACATCTGCAATTCTGTCTCTAGTATCAATTTTCCTGTTTGTTGTAAATCAATCAGTGACCTGTAAAGTTTGGCTAGCACCAGTGTTTCTCGTGGCCAAAAGATTTGTCTAAAAATGTTGAATCTGAGACAGTCTTGGAGGACGTGGTCACGATGCTTAACAAGATCTTGGAGTTTGTGGTGAAAATTTTGTTGGCAGCCCTACCAACATTTTGCTCATAATACTCAAATGTTCTTCTCAAGTGAGGCTGCGCTAATGAAACTCTACTGTAATCTCTTATAACATGTTTAGTTTAACCCCTGGATTGCTAGTAGGCTGAATTACTGTGCTGAGTAAACATGCTGCCTTAAAAAGTGTGTCATGAACATAAACAGTTTGGAAAGCTCTGGTCTATGGGATGAAGCGGTCAGTCTGATGCCAATCGTCCTTAGGACATGCATAGTTAAGCTACAATGTTACTATGACCCATCAGTTTGTCCCCTTCAGGCTGCTGCCTAAAAGGTTTGCTACATCACCCTAGGTCCCCATGGCAAAGTGGTCAAGCCAACTGTAGAGAGCCCACTAACAAGTATGTCCTAAGAGGTATTTCCTTCAAAGTCAAAGTGTGTCTGCCTGAATGGCGAAGAACCAACATTCTGCATACAAAGAAAGCTATATTTGTAAAGTGGATGTGCAGGCAAAACTAACGTTCTGGAACAAGACTAAAGTCCAGAAGTGGACAAACAGCCAGAGATTACAGCCAATGAGCACTAAGAAGAGGAAGGAGGAGGGTTTGTGGATTGTGAAAAGGAACATAAAACTGTTGTAAATGTATATGGATTGTGACAAGGAACACAACACTGTTGTAAATGTATGTGGATTGTGACAAGGAACATAACACTGCTGTAAATGTATGTGGATTGTGACAAATGAACACAACACTAGTAAATGTATGTGGATTGTGACAAGGAACATAACACTGCTGTAAATGTATGTGGATTGTGACAAGGAACATAACACTGTTGTAAATGTATGTGGATTGTGACAAGGAACATAACACTGTTGTAAATGTATGTGGATTGTGACAAGGAACATAACACTGTTGTAAATGTATGTGGATTGTGAAAAGGAACATAAAACTGTTGTAAATGTATGTGGATTGTGACAAGGAACATAACACTGTTGTAAATGTATGTGGATTGTGACAAGGAACATAACACTGTTGTAAATGTATGTGGATTGTGACAAATGAACACAACACTGTTGTAAATGTATGTGGATTGTGAAAAGGAACATAACACTGTTGTAAATGTATGTGGATTGTGAAAAGGAACATAACACTGTTGTAAATGTATGTGGATTGTGACAAGGAACATAACACTGTTGTAAATGTATGTGGATTGTGACAAGGAACATAACACTGTTGTAAATGTATGTGGATTGTGACAAGGAACATAACACTGTTGTAAATGTATGTGGATTGTGACAAGGAACATAAAACTGTTGTAAATGTATGTGGATTGTGACAAGGAACATAACACTATTGTAAATGTATGTGGATTGTGACAAGGAACATAACACTGTTGTAAATGTATGTGGATTGTGACAAGGAACATAACACTGTTGTAAATGTATGTGGATTGTGACAAGGAACATAACACTGTTGTAAATGTATGTGGATTGTGACAAGGAACATAACACTGTTGTAAATGTATTTAGATTGTGACAATGGAACATAACACTGTTGTAAATGTATTTAGATTGTGACAATGGAACATAACACTGCTGTAAATGTATGTGGATTGTGACAAATGAACACAACACTAGTAAATGTATGTGGATTGTGACAAGGAACACAACACTGTTGTAAATGTATGTGGATTGTGACAAGGAACACAACACTGTTGTAAATATATTTAGATTGTGACAATGGAACATAACACTGCTGTAAATGTATGCGGATTGTGACAAATGAACACAACACTAGTAAATGTATGTGGATTATGACAAGGAACATAACACTGTTGTAAATGTATGTGGATTGTGACAATGGAACATAACACTGTTGTAAATGTATGTGGATTGCCACAAAGAACATAACATTGTTGTAAATGTATGTGGATTGTGACAATGAAAACAATACTGTTGTAATGTATATGTATAGTGACAAAGGAACACAACACTGTTGTAAATGTATGTGGATTGTGACAAGGAATATAACATTGTTGTAAATGTATGTGGATTGTGACAAGGAACATAACACTGTTGTAAATGTATGTGGATTGTGACAAGGAACATAACACTGTTGTAAATGTATGGGGCTTGTGACAAGAAACATAACATTGTAAATGTATGTAGATTGTGACAATGAAAACAATACTGTTGTAAATGTATATGTATTGTGACAAAGGAACACAACACTGTTGTAAATTTATATGGATTGTAACAATGAAACACAACAACACTGTTGTGAATGTATGTGGATTCTGACAATGGAACATAACAATGTTGTAAGTGTATGTAGAATGTGACAATGGAACATAACACTAGTAAATGTATGTGGATTGTGACAAAGGAACACAACAATACTGTTGTGAATGTATGTGGATTGTGACATTTATTCTATGAGCTCTGAGAGTGTGTTCCACCATGTATGCGTTTCACTGTGGTCTTACACAGGGGTAAATCTAAGATGCCAGGTGCCTGAACATTTCTAGGTGGCACCTGAATTTTCATAAGATTTGTTAAGCTCATATTTGAAACAACAACAACAATCATGCTTCCTAAGGTAGATCCTTTATTATTTTCAGCTTTGTATATCTCTTGCTAAATGTAAGAATCTAATATTCATTCCAAATATGGTTCTCTAATTTTGATAAGTTTTTGAACTACCTAATTACTATCTGTTATCGCATGTATGTAGTAAGCAAGTGCAAACGATTACCTCTTTTTGTACGTTCTCTTGCACTGAACTATTAGTTAAATGAATAATTTTGACGGCCACGCACTCCATCGTAGACTGGCACACAGCAAGCTTGACTCTGGCAAGAAATAAAGCAATATATCATCAGTCAATAGTTGATATCCCAAGATCGCAGAGTAAATAACAGTTCAATAAAATTATGTGGAATGTATATCTGTGTTTGTAACATGTTTATTCAAAAATTCTGTGGAGTGTATATCTGTGTTTTTAAAATGTTTATTTAAAAAAAAAAAAAATAAGGATCTTGTGACAGGCCTAGCAAGCCGGTAGGGAATTTATTTGCTCCCATCAAACTATTACAGAATTATGCAGGATTTAATTAAAGAAAAGGTGTGGTTCAATCAGTGCTCATACCAATCACACAGCGATCAAACCAGTTTTCAACAACAAGCAGTTGACAGCAAATTAGCGTCATCAAAAGAAGCAGAAGAGGAGTAGGAGGATAAGGAAGAAGAAGAGGAGTGGGGAAAAATGGAAGCAGAAGAAGAAATTCAAATCAACTGTTTCACATTCACAGAAAGGATAGACAATCCTCTCTTGTCAAAAGACGTTTAGTTGAGAAAGGTTAAACTTACTCGCCATACGCCCCTTCTCCAAGCGTCTGCACAAACTCCCACCCTTCAACAAAAGGTGTTGATTTGGCTTGCATGTCTCTGTTCATGGGGTAATGATTATCTCCACAAGATTACCTCTTGCATTCAAGCCTCAGCAATTGGAATCATACCTTCAAACAAGAAAATCAAGATGTGTCAAGGGATGGCACCCGATAAAATATTCATACGTTATAGAGTGGTTCTGTGACTATGAAGAAAACATTTGGCTATCTTCCGAATAACGGTCCCAAATGATTGAGGCCGAAAATAAACCCTAACAGGGTCTCAGTCACATGTAAATTGCGGACTTCCGCCACCGCCGAGAGTGTCTTCCACGCCGCTATGCGTGACGTGGATTGGGGCTAAACTAGATGGCTGGGACTCACGAGCAAATAAAATGAAGGAAGCTGCAGGAGATGCGGTAGCTGTTGCTCATGAGTCCCAGCATCTAGTTCAGCCTCAATCCAAGCCGCGGCGTAGCGGCATGGGAGATACTCTCGGCAATGGCGGTAGTCGGCGGAAGTGTGCAATTTAAGTCGCCGGAAGTCCGCAATTTACATATGACTGAGGCCCTGTTAGGGTATATTTTCGGCCTCGATAATTTGAGACCGTTATTCGGAAGATAGCCAGACATTTTATTACCGTAATTTCATAAGCATGGAACATACTTGTTTTACAAAAATAGCGTGCATCTTATACAATAGTGGTAGATTTTGGGGGCGAAAATTTGGAGCCGAAGACCATGTGGACTCTTATGCGAACCTGTCCTTTTGGTGCTTGATCAGGTCAGGGCAAACACAATAGAAAACAAAGAAGATTGCTTCAGAGAAGAAAACAAAATGTGCCCTCATACCTTGAGGCTTGACATCCCGGTTTCAACCACTTGACCTCAGCATTAACAAACCCTTCAAAGTAATCATGAGAGGCAAATGGAACCACTGGATGAAGTCTTCTGGGGACAATCTGACCACAGCAGGTAGTGTGAAGAAACCACCGTTAGGAGAAGTTTGTAACTGGGTGAAAATATTGTAAAGATTGAGATGCTTGTCAAGTCATTCAAGAAGTGTGGCACTTCAAATGGCTCACTCAGATGGAACCGAGGATGAAGCAATATATGAAGATATTGATTCATTATAAAACACAGACGAGGAAAAGCTAAAGAACTATCATATGGATGAGTTTTGCCAGTGATGAGGTGTTTTCTAGATTCTATGGGAATAAAGGATGAGAGTTTTGCCAATGATGAGGAGTTTTCTAGATTCTATGGGAATAAAGGATGAGAGTTTTGCCAGTGATGAGGAGTTTTCTAGATTCTATGGGAATAAAGGATGAGAATTTTGCCAGTGATGAGGTGTTTTCTAGATTCTATGGGAATAAAGGATGAGAGTTTTGCCAGTGATGAGGTGTTTTCAAGATTCTATGGGAATAAAGGATGAGAGTTTTGCCAGTGATGAGGTGTTTTCTAGATTCTATGGGAATAGAGGATGAGAGTTTTGCCAGTGATGAGGAGTTTTCCAGATTCTACGGTGAATAAAGTGTGAGTTTAATGTGATAACAATATTTTTCCGACAAATTTCCTGTTCCAAAACAACGTACATCGTATACATAGGATCCTTTTATATTTGGGGAAATACAGTAATCCAAAAGGATGTTTTAAGGCAAGTATTTAAATAACTAATATCCTCATCATCATGTAGAAGGTCCTTTGCAGAACGTTGCTCTCATCACAGTCTACCTGATAAAAACTGTCTCTAGTCAGCACTTCAATCTCATGTACTTTCATATTCAAGGAATCACAACCTGTGCCCATCTTTGTGTCAGTCTGCCCCTCCTTCCTGGTGCCATGCCTTCTATTATGATTTCTTCCAATCCGCCATGGCGCTTGATATAACCAAAATATTTCAGTTCCCAAGATAAGATGTTTATTAGCCAATCTTCCTTGATGTTCAAATCTTTTAAAATATCATTACTTCTCTTCTTTGTCCATGATATTCTGAGAATCTTTCTTTGGCATTCCAGCTTAAAAGCTTTCTACTAAACAACTGGAAGTTAGTCGACTTTTCACATCCGTATTTTGCTACAGGGAAAATGTATATTCTAAAATTTTAATTTCCTTCATTGCTCATTTAAAGATCATTTTCATCACACATCGGACGTGACCATAAGTGCTCCGATCTCCTCTTAGAGGTTTAAGGCTAACAACTCCCCTTCTGTTCTGGTTAATGTAACGACAGGTGGCTTCCACATGGTTTTCTTGTCTCACTATATCAAGACCTTGATTTTCTTGATGGTGCTTAACCGTAGATTTTTTATGAAATAATTAACACAAACAATATATTTCACAATTTACAGCCATGCATATTTCATGGAAGCTGTAGCAATTAAAATGGTTTATCTCTTGGTATGTAAACAAAAAGATCACCTCCTTGACTTCCTCTGGAGAGATGAGACAGTGTTATTTGTATTTTTCATTTAAAAGATTCACATTTTGTGCTTCATTGAGTGTTAGCTCTGTAGGTGCATCGGAGTTCCCAGGCACTTAGTATCCTTTGGATATTTCCTTCAGATAATGCCAGTGTGTTGGAAAATGAGCAGGCAGATAGACTGACCGGTTCGCGCTGATGTATGACAAAGCCAAATGCAGGGTTCCTAGCTAATCTCAAAGCTTTTTAAGGTATTCTTAGTTTTTTCAAAGTTGAGTCGGGGTAAAACTGAGGCACGGTATTTTTGGTTTGTTCAAGGGCGCACAAATGTGGGTGTACCAGCACAGATATAGTCTTTTTTAGATTTTTTTCCCCCTTGGCTTGGTGGCAGAAGGGAGCAAACTGATGTCCTGTCTGTTCTAGACCTGGTACATGAAGGAAAGAGAGAGAGACAAGTGAAGAAAGCTCTCTAGGCTCGTTCATACCCCCTACCCTGCAAAGCAAAATGGTATAACAACAAAAAGTGTAACCGCAAAAAGGCCTAAAATCTACTGCTGAAAATCACCCGGTTGTGATGTGCAAAGTTCAAGGATTTGTGGGTGAGGTTCAAGGATTTTCATCAGCTTTCATAAAAATCCTGAGTTTTTCCAGACCTCGAAAGTGATCTTGCATTTCCCGACTTTTTGCCAGTACTGCACACCACCAGATAAAAAAGCTATAAGTACTGTTAAATTGCATTTTTCATGAGTTATCAAACAATTCTAGTCGATTAATTTACAAAATATAGACAATAACCGTTGTTGTATTACCAAAAGTTCCAAAAAATCATGTGGTACATTTGTTTTGTCATTTGGAAAGAAAACAAAGTCACTCAGAAATGAAATAAAAAAATACATATATCACTAAATTTGCTCTGATTACAGGTTAAAATCCAACAATTATGGAATACGGATGAAATCATTTCAAACCATTACTGAATCATCATCATCATGTGCCCTGTCAACTGGTGTAGGCGCTCATGCGTCTCCACAGATCATGATCCCTGGTTGCTTGAAACAGCTCTCTTGATGATGTCCCTCCATGCCATCGTTTCAGCCCATCCAGTTTCGCCTCTCTTGGTCTGCCTCTACCCCTTTTCCTTGTTCTCCAATGTCTCTCTTCTTATTATGTGGCCAAAGAACAGTGTTTGTCTCTTTCTTATTGTTGTATACAGAGATCTACTTTCATTAGATTCTGTCAAGCAATCGTTAGTTATTCTGAATATCCAAGGTATTCGTAATAATCATCTCAGAAGCCACATCTCTGTTGCCTCCAAATTCTTCCTAATGTGTTCACTGACATTTCAAGATTAGCTACTATACAGCAGAACAGGTTATATGTAATATTTTAGTACTCTTTCTGACATTAAATGAGAGAGATTTATTGCATAAGATATTTTTCATTATGGAATACAGAGAGAATTCATCTCAAACTATCTCACTGGCTATTGAAGACACTATTCCAGGGTTGCCTAGTTGGTTTTGCATTTTAGCACACTTGTTTCCATAGTGAGGCTGTGGTTTATACAACGTATCAGCATCATGGGACTAGGGTAGTAACCCATAAGTGTTCCATTTTACTTCTAAGTCAAGCCCGGGTCAAAAAAATCTCAGCACAGTACACGAACTCCGTAGTACCGGCGAGGTTCCTTAAATACTTTGGGTCGATTTTTAACTCCAAATTTTGCCCGGGCAGTCCCAATCAGCACAAAGAGACATCTTATTCAAAGCATATTTTTTCCAACTCTGTGCTACCAATGCCAGACATGGTCACTCACAACAAACCATAAGAGAAAATTAGTAACCACGGAAATGAGATGTCTGAGAAGTTCTGTAGGAGTGACCATAAGAGATAAGATCAGGAATGAGATCATAAGAGAACAAGTAGGCACAGAACCAGTTCTGGATTACATACAAAGACAGCAAGTGAAATGGTTTGCCCACTTAGAGAGAATGCCTTGTGACACCATACCATACAAAGCATACATGGAAAGAGAAGGACGTAGTGCACAGGGTAGACCAAGAACAAGATGGAAGGATAACATCAGAGAAACTCTTCAACAGCACGATGTGTCTATGGTCAAGGCAGCCAGAAGAGCTAGAAACAGAACCTTATATCTCCCTCGACACCCACAGCAAAAAAAGAGGAAGTGAAGAAGAAGAAGAAGAAGAAGAAGTACCGTTAGGATACTTTTTTAAATTTCCTACTGCTAAGGTTTTTTTTTTACCTGCACAGACCCACACATGGGCGTCCAGTCCTACTACCTAGAGGCAAGTGGAAATTCTAGAAGTCCACGTTAACAAATCCCAGCCTTCACCGGGGCCTGAGCTCGGAATCACTCAGTCCCCCCCCCCCCCCCATAGTGAGGGGCAAATGCTATTTGGAGGTAACTGACAGGTTTGATTCCTGGCAAGGTAACTACAGCTTTTGATTTTTATGTTGTCTAGTGTGTCCTATCTTTCTATGAGTGCTAATCAATACATTGTTCGCTTATTACATAAAGAATGTCTCTACAGTCTTAAGGGTTCTGTCTGTATTTATTTATTTAATGTGTATTACATGTAACACAATGAAGCCTATTAATCAAATCTCTT